TATATATATATAATTAAATTATCTATTTGTTTAAAGAACTAGAACAATTTATTTTTTGATTCAAAAAGACCGAAAATGTAGACAAAAGAGTGATACTCTGAAGATGTGTTTTCAAATAGTTGATATCTAACAAAAATGCAATTTTTTTAGAAATACATAAAATAGAATAATAATTAAACAACATCAACAGATTATTTTTTTCCCGTTTCTTGAATGAATCAAGAGTTTTCAATAGTCTATTATAGGTCCTGGACATCATCTAAGGAAGACAATTCAATTATTTGAAAGTCCACAAAGTCCACATTTAGGCCTTTTATGTTATCATATTTTCATGACTGCTCCATAAGCTCGTTGTTTTTTTGTTATAATTAAAAAAACTGGCACGTATATATTTTTTCTGGTCCACAAATCACAGATAGATGTGTTCATTTAGAATGTGCAACTTTCTAATTTCAGTGTTTACAATGGCATTTCACTCAAATGATCACATGGTGTTTCAATTTTATGCATAAACTATTTAAAATATTTAAGTGTGCAGTGCTTTTTTACATTCACTTGTTACACATTTTTAGATAATTGTTTATTTAATACATTTCTTATTACTAATATTAACTTCCTTAATTAGCAGTTTCGTCAAAAGATATGAAACTACTTAGAATTGTATTAAAATTTTTACATTTCTGTGGAATTTTTACCTTGATTTAAATCAAACCTGCATAGATCTTTATACTTTTCCTTTGAAAGTGTGTAGATATGTGCAATACAATAAACATTTCCCTCATTTTTGGCATTATTGCAAGATGAAAATGAGGAAAAGATTAATTTATTTATGTTAAAGAGGAGGTGTTATTTTGTAACTAATTTAAAAAAAAAAATGTAAGCATGTTTTTTGAATAGTAAAGTCTAATTGCAACAATTTTTATGTATATTAAAAATGTATGATACCTAAAAAAATTATACAATATAAAGTTTATCAAAGCATGGGACTACTAGGGTTTCTCATTTCCAGAGCTTTAAAATTATCCTGGAAAAAAAGGCAAACTTTTTCGCATTCCGGGATCATTCCGGAATTCTTGGAATAAATTCTTGTTTTTTAAATATATTTCACACCAAAAATTTAACTATGAAAAAGTTGATTTTAACGGTTGTTTGATAGCTCTTTTCTATTAATGAATAAAAACAGTGTTACGGTTCGCTGAGACGTTGGTCCCATGCTGCTAGCTGCTTTATTTCCTACCTATTATCCCTTGTCATAGACAACTAGTTAAAAAAATTCGTGTGAAGCAAACGTTGCATATATAAATGCATATAGAAACTTACATAACCACTTTACTTTCTTTTTTTTTTTGTTGTTGTTTTTGTTTTTGTTTTTGCAAATCGGTAAAGCTGGTTTCGATTCCGCCATTAACTCTTTACAAGTAAATGACTCTAACAACTAGTTGTTCGTTTCGAATATAAAAATAATTAGGAATGTTGATGCCTGTGTCTCTTTATGTTTATGTCTTACTATTATATTATTTTTGGAAATAATAAATACATAATGAAAAGGTAGCTTGAGACAAGAGCATAATGGGATGATATGTGACTACAGCACACTTAGCGCCCAGCCCGTGTGGTTGTGTAGGGATGTGTGCGAAGATCGTCGACTGAAACAATAGACTATTTAAAACATTGATTATTCATTAATTATTTTTTAATAAGTGTCTTAAAGTTTAGTTTAGCATTTCAATGATGATATTAAATATGTCAGATAGTAAATTGTACTGGAAAATGACATTTTAACTTGTTTGCTTTCCAAGAATTTACCCTAATGAAAAAAACCTGTTTTCCATATATCGTGGTAAGGATCACTTTGCTTCTATAAGAGTATAGCTGTTACGTGAAAAAACCTTGAGCACATGTGTACCAGTGCTACTTAGCTTAATAAATCGGCGCAGGCTAGATTCTACAAGTTTTAGCTTATAGCAAAATTTTAAAAAAAAATGAAAAGGAAATTATACGCGTGTTCTCGGGATTTTAAGTGATTTCCCGATACCCGGTATAGAAAAATTTCCCGGGAAGTCTTTTGTTTACTAAAAATTGTTCGGGATTCCGACAGAAAAACCTTAGCGACTTTCTTTAGATACGCTTTAACCCCCCCCCCCACACACACACACTTAATATGTGCAAGTACTTTAAGGGTCATCTTCAAATAATTATATCAATACACATTTCTTCATATGTTTATTTTGATTCAGATTTACAAAATGTGCAATATTTTTATTTTTTAGAAATTCTTTTCCCCGTGTAGAATATGTGGTAAATAAAGCGTGACTTATAAAGGAAAAATGTAGTTATTAATTTCTTTACGTTGTATGTGGATATTTGTATGTGTGTTTCAGTATTGTAAAACGTTATTATAACACGAACCATTAGGCCTACAAAACAAATGTCTATGGGAACAGAACCAACGCACATAGACGACATTACATGTTAACGAAACGTTCTGATCTGTTTTGCTGGAAGTATTTGATCATTTCTATACGATTTTATACCTCAATGTTTACTCCTGTCTGTCTGTGTGTGTAGGTGTAAGAGGCTTGTATGTGTTTAGGTGTGTGTGGGGTATATGCTCGCTCGTCAATGAAATATGTTCGATTAACTCCAAAAAAAAGTGTTTCCTTTATTCGGATCAATAAAAGTATAGAATTTTATCTTTTTAATGTATTTTGCTAGTCTTTGTTAGCATAACCCATGATTATTACTAATGCAAATGTCACTAATGATAAAAATAAAAGTTTCACACTTGAAATAAAATTGAATGATCTATTTTAACTATACTATAAAATTAAAATGGAAATGATCAGACATGCTTTGATTTTGAATAGTGATAGTTCTTAATCAGGGATTATTATGGATCGGAGATCGTAGCTGGAGCTCTGGAGCATGGTCTTTTTCCTGTAGCCCTAGCTGGAATAGATACATTTTCGAATTGCACTGAGTTCTGACCAACTAAAATTAAAAAAGACAAGCTTGGACTAATCTATACCTACGGCAGAAATTGACATGCACTATTAAATGGGTTATACTTATTATTATTATTATTTTGAATATTTCGATTTTTTGTTTTTATTTTTTTTAGTTAAAATTATTTTATTTTTAATTTGCATTAATTTAATTAATAATCTATTAAATTTATAATTATAACTGTATAAGTATGCCCTAGACAACTTCAGCTATGTAGGACCCAGTCTGTGAGGAAATTTATTTTCAGCGAAATAGCTTAGTCTAAGTTAGAAAAGTAGGCTTTAAATACAATTTAATACAAAGGTCTTGTAGCTCAGCTGAGACTGAGTAATTTTGTAAATGTAAACAAATGCAAATAATAATGGGAATTTCCGAAATAAAAACTACTTTGGAGAAAAAAAAGTAACGAAAATCGGAAATACCTAAGGCAGGGTTTCCCAATCTCGTTTTATAATACATTACATTACGGTCCAAAATCTCTTGTTGCACCCTCAATTAGACCATTACCTCTTCTGGTTCTGGATTAAATCACAAAAGTGCTCTTGTTCTCAGTTATTAAATTATTATTTTAAATTACATTTCGATGGTAAATCATGGTTTTATTTGATGAATAAATTATTTAATGTTAACAGCAGTTTCTTAGCGTCAACTGATTTCTTTTATTGTTATTATTTATTATATTTTAATGATGCATAATTTAATGTCAAACAAATATTAAATAACTAACTATATTTAAACTTAAAGTTTAACATTTTTGGTGCCGGGAACCTAAATTAGTAATAATAAATAAAAATAAATTATTATGACTATGATCGGTCTCAGGCTCAAATGAATTAGATTCATTCCAGTTGTGTCACCATCGAGATATGTTTTTGCCATGGCTTATTCTTGCCCCTAAAATATTTTTTTTCCTCGGGAATTTTTAGATAAATTTAAAATACAAAATTATTTTTAGCACCTACATGAAGTCCATTTTGCAACATTCTATACTTAATTGCAGAGAAACAGAAGATATTCTAGTTAAAGTTTAGGTGGCAGGTAAGCCATCCTGTGGGTCCCATAACCCCTACAGCTTCAGGGCTTAAAGTAGTGATATGGACACTTTAAAAAAAAAATTATCATCTTTCAATGCAAAAAGGGGGAGATAAAACCAAAAGTTGCAAGGGGCCACAAAAAGTTAAGTGATGGCTCTGTGTCATAATGTGTTACACAGTTATTTTTTTATATTACTAAATAGTAATGTGGCTTTTGTTTTTTAATTGAAAGATTTTTTGGTTTTATTACTTAATTAGTAAACGAATAAACAAAAATAGAAAACAACTTACTTACCAATATTAACATTTATAAATATTTACAAGTTTTACCTGTGTCAAAAAGAAAGAAAAAACTATGACTATATAGTTGAAAGTTCTGTACATTTGTATGAGTATGGGTTTTTAAAACTAGTCATTTTATAAATCCAATATAAAGTGCAGATATTTATATTAAAAGACATGAATTGTTTAAAAAAGACATCATATATGTACTATTGT